AAAAAAAAAAACGTAAAAGTTTGATTTGATAGCTTTAATCGCGCATGCATTTCAGGCACTTATTTTTGAATACATTGATCGTTTATTTGCGATTGTACGTCCTCGTAAGCTTCTCTACATGGCTATTGATGGCGTAGCTCCAAGAGCAAAGGTATTTTTTTAGCCATATTTTCTTTTGTAAGCAGATTACAGCAACCAGGTTGATTCTGGAAGCTTAAATGGCGAAGGCGCGATAGATTACAGTATGAGAGAAGGAGATAAGAGTGAGATAATACGTTTCGCTCCATACAGTCATATACGCCTTAGCTCAACACCGCAACAAGACCTCGTCAGTATGACGAACATAAAAAGCTGAATTGTGTGGAACATAAAAAGCTATATTTCTCCGCTGTTTTTGGCACTTATTAATAAGGCTATAAATACTTACTGTTATTTATTAATAAGGCATTTCCCCTTCGAAAAATTTCACGAGTTTCATCATTCGCATATGTACAGAACTTTGTGATTTTCCCCAAAATCATTATGTTGAATTCGATTTTAGATGAATCAGCAGCGAAGTCGCCGTTTTCGTGCTTCCAAGGATGCTGCAGAAAAGATTGAGCAAATAGCCGAAATACGGGCGCGCCTGGAAAGCGAAGGTTATCCGCTGCCACCGAAGAAAGAGGACGAGGAGCATTTTGATAGCAATTGCATAACGCCAGGGACACCTTTCATGTCACGGTATGCTAGCTTTTTATCACTCCTGGTAGTTTTCCTTTCGATCCAACTTAGAATTAGCGAGCTTTTTTGATTTAAGGCGGATTTTTCCGACTTACTGCTTAGCTGTAACTAAAAAGTGATAAGTTTTTATTCCTGTGGCCCATCGTTTGAGGTGCTGTTTCTTCGTTGCATTTCTTCTCGCCACTGATGCAACTGATAGTTTCTTCTGAAGTTTTTATTCGTATTAATTCTTTATAAGAACTAAATATTTGTTTTTATTCACTGATTCTTAACTTTATCAGTTAACCATTCATTTTCTGCCAGTCAAAATTTTTCCACTTTTTTTTTCGAAAAAATTTCTTGTCAGTTACATAATTTCCGGTCACTTTATGAATTGAGTGTTATTTTTTTTTCAGGCTTGCTGTTGCGCTCCGTTATTATGTTCACCAAAGATTAAACAGCGATCCAGGATGGGCGAAAATTGCGGTAACGTTTTAATTCTCACATTTCCTGTTTATTTCCTATAAAATTTTGACGCAAATGCCTCTCCGGGGTTTGTGAGTGTCGTCGGACTAGGCACTGACAAGGCAAAGCAAAGCCTTCTCCCTTCTTTCCATTTTGTACTGCAACAGTTGCACAAAACGCATATTGTCACGACCCTGTTTCTGTGTTTGTGTGGGTTCTGGGAACTTTTTTTTAATGGTTATAAACCTTCAAAGTGTTTAAGGTGATTCTGTCGGATGCAAATGCACCCGGCGAAGGCGAGCATAAGATAATGGATTTTATACGGCGACAACGAGCATCGCCTTCGCACAACCCAAACACCGTGCACTGCTTGTGTGGCGCGGATGCTGACTTAATAATGCTTGGTCTTGCAACTCATGAACCAAATTTCAATATTATCCGAGAGGAATTTGTGCCGAATCAACAAAAACCATGCGATCTTTGTGGTCAGTATGGGCACGAGCTGAACGAATGCAGAGGGTAAGCTTTTTTTCTCGCCAAAAACCTCATATCATGCTGATTTTTATCTGTTCATCTATCATTTTAGCATGCATTTTCATCTTTGTTGCAAAATTTTTCAAATTTTGAAAACTTTCTCCTGTGGTTCTGTCTTTATCACATCGATGTGTTCATGTTTTGTTAGCCGTGCCATGAAATTCGTCGATTCGTTTTCTTCCTAGCAAGTGCATTTTCAGTTTTTGAAGTTGGCGTTTTTTTCTTTTAAGGTTTTTTTTTTCCTCCTAAGGTTTTTTTCTTTTGAGAGTTGACTAGAAGCTGATTGGGAATTTGACATCGCAGCATATACCAGTACCAATTTACCGTCGAAACAAATGAACGAATCGCATAGAGATTGATTGTTTCATCGGCGGACTCGAACCTATGGCGCGTTTTGCACTTACTACTGCGCCAAGCCCAGGAACGCCTGAAACGTTCCCTTAATTTACTCAGGAAGATTTGAATAATTTTATTTACAGATTTTTGCAATATCTGGCTTTTTCAGATTGGCTCGTGATGAAGAATCGGAATGCCAGTCATCTCCGTTGCAAAAGGAAACAAATTTTATATTCGTACGTTTACCGGTTCTGCGCGAATATTTGGAGCGAGAATTGCAAATACCTAATTCGCCCATACCATTTGATTTGGAAAGATCCATCGATGATTGGGTACGTGTTTTTTTTTTTTTTTTTTTTTTTTTTTACTTTTACATACTCCACATTGAGATCAAATACGGGCGGGAAAGAGGGGAAGGGAAGAGGGTGCCTTAACTTTTGACATATACGAAGAGTGTCTTACGTACGGGACAATTTACAAATATGCTCTTATTTCAGGTTTTTATGTGTTTTTTTGTTGGTAATGATTTTCTGCCTCATTTGCCTTCACTGGAAATTCGAGAAAATGCTATTGATCGCCTCATAAAATTGTACAAGGACATGGTCTATAAAATGAAAGGGTATTTCTTTTGTTGTTTCGAATTGTTTTGTTTTTTGGTGTGGATTATTTGACTGTGGAAAAATCATCGTTGTTGTTCCTTTCAGATATCTTACCGACTCAGGGACAGTGCATATTGAAAGGGCCCAAATGATTCTTGATAAATTGGGTGAAGTGGAAGATGAAATATTCAAATCGAGACAGGTCGGTTTCCCATCCCGAATTCTCTCCTTCAAAATAGTCCATAATTCTCATTATTTTTAACATTTTTATTATTGCTAAACAAATTTCGTTGGATTTTGATGCGGTTCTTATCGTATTGATGTAGTAGCAGACTTAATGAATTCACATCAGCATAAATATGCTTTGTACATTAACAGTGATGGCCTCCCAAGTATATTAGTTCCGATAAATTTTATTCGATATCCACGTGCTATTGGACGTAAGCATTGCCGTCTTTTCGGCATAGCAGATCCAGGTCGATCTCTTGGGGAGGGAGGGAGGGGGGGGGGGGCAATTTCCTCCCCTAGTCAACCGTACTTTGCGGTGACCACCGGAGAAGGGGGACAGACGATATCGAACAGAGTTTTCTACAGTAAAAAAGCTGCTACCCTCAGCCCCTTGGGGGAGAGGAGAGAGGGGGTGAAAGACCCTTTCCTTCCCGCACCCTGAATCCGCCATTGCTTTTTAATGGCAGTTCCTGTAGTGTACCACTGGCGCTTAATCTTTACGTAATAGTTCTCTTAATATCTGTTACTTTTAATAATCATGAGTTTAATTTATTTCGTCGTTTTTCTGCTGTTATAGTTAATTTAGTATTTGTCTTTTTATGCGTTTTTTGCAGTAATGCAATGCAAAAAACGCATATTGACGAGAGGTTGTCTGTG